CGTTTTATAAGTATTATTATGTCTATCAATGTAATTAAGGCAGGGGTTTACTAAAAATGGGTTGACCAAATTTAATGACGACATTGAATATCATCATAACAATCGAAACCGTCAGTAACGGACAAAAATGCATTAATTACCCATCATATAAGTAGTTTTGAGCTCTGTTGTAATCGGCAAGGCTTATCATTCGAATAACACTCTAAATTACACTCCATTTCGTTCACTTGACATCGTTCTTACTTTTCTTGTCATTTTTCTGTTGTTCTTGTACGAATCCCAATCTATATACAACTTTCATTTTAATTAGTTTTTAGCTTATCAAATTATTGCTTACACAATAGATATAACAGTATTTTTTGTAGAGTCAAAAGGAACTAAATCTCAAGTGTGATTAGCAATATGAACATTAAATTCTTTAGACATAGCCTCTCTCCATTTAAGATCTTTATTAGCATTGGAAAAGCGAGTGAGTTTATATGCCGTAACAATTGTATTTAAGTTAAAAATAGTTTTTGTGTTAAATCCCACACCGGAAATGTTTGAGTCAACGAAGTGCTATATCAAGACATCGGCTACTCCTCCTATCAGGTTGACCTTTTAGGATGAAACCCAGGTCTTAAGATAGTATCAGAGCCAAATCGATCCATGGTGTGGGCCCCTTATGAAAAATGATTGACACGATTATAAAAAAATGACAATGACGAATTTATGAAAAAATGAATGACGGCACGATCCAGACGAAGAGTCTGGTCGTGAGGAGGGGTGTTAAATCCCACACCGGAAATGTTTGAGTCAACGAAGTGCTATATTAAGACATCAGTTACTCCTCCTATCAGGTTGACCTTTTAGGATGAAACCCAAGTCTTAACATTTTGGTTTAAAAATTCTGGACATAACACGAGTGTGCATAAGATGAATGTTGAGTGAAGATGAAACCAAGGCTGGGGAAATACGACTGGTTGGGACTGTGTATGGACAGGATGCAACGGAGGAGAAGATCCTCGAGACCTCAGCCGTAGGAAATAGGGTTGGAGATATTGCATCCGACAAAGAAGCGAGAGCATCGGCAAGCGAAGACGACAAGAAATAGGGATTGTCTGCCAACGGTGAAGGAAGGCCGCAATCAACATAAGACAGTGGTGATGCAAGGGGCTGAGGTATGATGATAAGACTGGGAGCATGGAGAGGCAAGAATGCAAGATATTGGGTAGGTGGGGTGATGCGTGGGTAGCAGCCAAACCAAGACCCCAGAAAGGTAAAGGAGCAGACTGGTTTGGGACATGGAAGAATTAAGTTAAGATAAAGGAAAGATATTTTAATGAAAAAGAACATTGCACTCGTGTAAATCTTACATGTAGAAGAATGTAAGCAACGATAACCTTTTAATTCAAGAGCATATCCTCAAAACACATATTGAACTCACCAAGGAGAAAGTTTGTTTGATGAGGTGGTAGGGAAATTAGGATAGCACACAAAACTAAAGACACGCAAAAATGACAAATCAAGATAATCGTGAAATAACCTTTCAAATGGACAAAAACCATTGAGGATCATAGAGGGTAACCAATATATAATATAAGTAGTGTTGGGCATGTTTAGAAAAACAAAGAAAATAATTAATAAAAAATAATTAAATAAAATGACTAAAGAAAATAGAAAGTAGATGAAGCAGAATTTAGCCAAAACTTGTGTTACGCATGATGTCCTTAAAACGTATTTGTTGCCTACCTAGATGCTAGGAGCGTTGCAACAATCATTTCCCAAGATACAATGACTACGAACAATCGTTGAGCACTCAAACGACTGTCTCGGCGAACGTGAACAAAGGCATAACACAAATGAATATTTATGGAATGCTAGAGGTGTTTTAGAGCTAAAGAGTGCGTGAGTTCGTTTGTGAACGTGTTGTTGCAAACCACCTGCTAGCCAATATATAGGGGAAGATTTGTTGTGCGTTAATGACGTTTTTAATGGACATGAACATTGGACATCAATGTCCAGCACGTTGGCATTGATTCGTCCATAAATGTCCATTTAATTGCATGAACGTTGGGCATTTATGGTGTTGTAACAGCAGTAGCAGCCTGCGCAGCATACACGATATCATCACTTGAAGCTCGTAGAAGTACCTTCCCCATGGTTTTGTCCTTAAGGAAAATGTTTTATTTTTTGTAATAAACTACTCCCTCCGTTCCATTTTACCCGTCTTACTTTCCTCTTTGGATTGTCCCAAAATAAGTATCACATTTCCTCTTTTGGAAAGAAACACGCGGTCTACAATATTTAACTTTATTATACTCAAATCTCAACCATAACATTTATTTTTTCAACCAATCTATTAATAATTGTGCCAAAGCAAAGTAGGTCACATAAAATGGGATAGAGGTAGTACAACACTATTGTTACTGACACATAATATTTTATAGAAATTAAATTATATTTGATATGAGGGACATGGTAAACAAATTTTAAGTGGAGAAGACGTTGAGAACTCAATACAATGTGGCCAATATTTTTAACTGGAAGATTAATGTCATTCGCAACCGTAACAGTAAGTGGATTCAGATAAGTAGATTTGTTTAACAAAATACCTTTATTATGAGTCATATGAAAGGAAGCACCAGATTCAAGATATCAAGTCGTTGGAGTAGATTCACCAGTAGGAACAACAAAAACATGGGCATGGCTGGACAAAGCGAGAAGGACAAGAAATAGCAGAGTGACCTGGATAGTGACAAATTTGATAGACAACAAGAGTTACAAAACTTGAGTTACTCATATATCCATCGTGTGTGCCCCCTAGAAACTGTTGCGGGCCGTAAGGAAGCTGTTGAACTTGGCCATACATGGGTTGGTTGTATCCATGACCACGACCGTGTTCACTTTGGTCCCTATGGCGGGGATGTCTCCCTCGATCACAAAAATTTCCAGGCTGTTTCGGTGGGGTCCCTCTACGTAAGGCCGAAGACATAACAAATTTTGTTCCTAATGCACAAGCTTAGTAAGAAAGGAGTCAAAAGTAAGACCTCCTGGAAATAAATTATGAGTAGTACAATACACTCATATATACTCCTGATAACTTCTCGGCAAACCGCTAGTGGTATTGTTAGAGAGAATAGAAAGCTCAACTCTGCTCAAGTATAGAGAGAGAAAGTGCAATGTATTAATGGGAGTCTCACCATTTACATCTGCCCCAAGGGGGGTATTTATAGTAGTAATAAATGAGTCGGTGCATTAGATGCATTACACATGTCGACTATTCTATGGGAAAGAGCCATGGGGTGCTACATAGCGGGACACGTGTCATTCCCTGGTTGATCTCTGGCCAAATGCTCTCTGCTAGCCGAGGTGCTCATGGTTAAGGTGCAGGGGTGCATCTTGGACGCTGTGATTGTGGTTCTTAGGTGGCGTTTTGGTAATTTGTGATCGAGGTGTCGGTGCTGAGGTGAAAGCACGGACATAAAGTCCGTATCTTCATTCTGGACTAGGCTCATTTGTTGGACCCCCCAGTATTGACATGGACTTGGTTCATTTTGTATATCCAAGAATGTGTGGGTCGTGGACCCGAACCCATATACTCTATCACCCCAATGTCTAAGTCCAAGAATAGTATGTATTGGAGAAGATGAGAATTTATAGCAGCCAGAGAATCAGTAATAATTTTAGTATCTTGTAAGAAATGATATATGGGACTGATTTTCTTGCTTTATGTCGAGTAAGAAGTCTCTTGAATTCCATGGGTCGAGCTAGACTTGCAAACACAAAACAGGATTCAAGTCTCTCTCGAACCTTTCAATTCATGTACCTCAACTAAAACATTACATGATAAAGTAGCAAATAACCAGGAACGTAACATGTGATCCAATTTAATCTTGTGATAGTATTAAAAGTTTGCTTTTTGGCCTAGATATTACTAAAAATAAGATAAAAGACAAAAAAGTGACATGTTTTTGAAAAATCCAAAAATGTGACCAACACAACAAATAACCCCTCTGCAGTGCAAAGTGACTCTGACCAAAGTGACTCCGGCCAAAGTGACTCTGTCACCAAGTGACTGCCCCACCAGCCACAAGGACTGCCCTACCGGCTCAGGGGCTGCCCTACAGGCCACAGTGACTGCACGCCACCGGTTACAGTGACTCTGGTCATGGTGATTGCCCGTCCACTGGTCATATTCACTTCGGCCATTATGACTGCCCGCCCAACTCCACCACCGCCGTCCACGCTGGAAACCACCATCGTCCACCACCCGCCTGCCGCCACCGCCTGCCGCCAATCCCAGTCCCTCTCCTACACAGACCCCAACCCCCTCTCCCACCTACCCCAGACCCAGCTCCCCCAGGCCCTACTCCCCTGCCCTGCCAGTGACCTATTTTCACAAATCTGGCCAACGACATACAAATCCAACAAGCAGCAACCCCAGATTTCTATAATCAAGGAAGAAGGAGATGAAATCGTCGCCCACCTTGTTACTTCTACAGCCGCACAACCGCCCAGTTACCGTAACCACCACCTCGCATCTAAAGACTCATCGTCGTTTACTCGCCGCCACCACTAGTGGGATGATCTTCTGTGGTTGGTGGTCATCCTCAAACTTCGTTCATGAAAAATAAACGGACAGAAAAATCCGGCTAGAACATTCGCACGCCAGGCCCATCTGCTCTAGTATGACTGTGACGGTAACTTGGACGGTGAGGCGGAGATCTGGACGGCAAGATGTAGATCTGGACGGAGAGGCAGAGATCGAGATGGAGAGGCGTAGATCCGGACAGGGAGGCGGAATAGAAATGTCACGCCCCAGATCGCATCTATGCGCGTGTACAACCACTGTATGACCAAGTGACGTCACTAGCAAGTCAACGTGAATTAATCATACATGGCGTGCATGAACATAATCCATCCATACTCAGTAGTAAACATACATAACAACATCACATTTAAACCAATGAATATCAGAATGGTTTCCGCAGCTACATTGATCCGATACCTGTTTAACAAAGGGGAGTATGCTTACTCTGTCTGCAAGAAGGGCTACATAGCAGGACATGTCACTGAAAAAGAAGCAAGTAATTTCCTAGTCAAGCATTTTTTTCTAGGAAAGTTAACATTCTTGCAGCATTTCAATAAAGGTGAAGAAATGGTACCCACAATGGGACCTCATGGTGGAACCATTCTTGTTCGGAAGATAGCTGCATCAAGTCCAAAGCAAGTTTTGTAGGAGATGTTGTAGTCCTTAAGGACCTTGTTAAGTCAGGCAATCTTCTTGTTCGGAGATTGACTGCAATTGAAGGATATGAGATGGTCTCCACTGATGAAAAAGATGAACCTTTTGTAATTAATGAAGATGAGTGCTGGGTAGAAGCGGACAATGAAAGCATAAATCCCAAGGATGCAAATGATAGTCGTACTTTTGGGCCCATTTGCATGGATGATATAATTGGCAGAGTTATTTATTGCATAAGATCAGTTGTTGACCACGGCCCCGTTAATAAGAGTAAGCTAAGTAGTCAGAAGGATGCACCAGTGCTTGAAGTTGAGCTGGATGTGGAAGAGATGATGAAGAGTCACAAAACATAGACGGTCAAGATCATATATTCAAACTCCTTTTGGCTTTATTATACATTTGGACCGGTGATCTATTCTGTGCATGCACAATTTCATTCATATTATGAGCAAGAAGTATCACCAAAAATAAGTGTTTCCTACAGGATTGTGTTTAGTTCATTTTTACTTTTTCCCTGCCGAAAACTGGTTCTTAGCTGTCATTTTGCTGGTGTTAGTTTGTGTTAAGATGGCTGACATTTGTTCAAGGGACCTCGACATGTAACTGTCAAAGATATAATATTAGCCTTTCATGTGCAAAAAAAACGGAAATATTCAACGGTAAAGCATGGGCCACAACCGACAAAAACATGGGCTCACAGGCCCAAAATAGTTTATAGTGAATCAAATATCCATGAGCAAGTGTTTGGTAGTTTGAAAGGAAATAAGAAAGCACCAACCACGTCTTCCTTGAATTGACTTCACCCGTAAGAAGGTGCAAGTAGCAAGCCCTAGCTTCAACCTGAAAATGGTGGGGGGGGGGGGGGGGGGGGGGGGGGGGCGAAGGCGTCTATACAAGTACCGAGCGAGTAGCAAACTAAATGTAGCATAACTAACGTTTCAAGTATAAGACACAAACATAGGGTGATACATAAATGTATAGTACTCCCCCCAAGTTATAAAATACATATCAGTATATATATACACTTGGAAATACCCGACCCGTAGGTCATTGTTTATTTGTGAAAATCATAGTAGTCAATAGCCTTGACTTAAATTCCAACCCACCCATATCCTATGAGTGTATAGGACTCCTCCTGGTCCAAGTCAATTTATACATACGAGTTTGAGGACAGTATCGTCGTCCTTGGATTCTCTACCATTTATACATATGCGTTTTGAGGACAGTACTGTCGTCCCTGGATCTCCAGCATTTGTATACCGAGGTTTGAGGACAGTACCATCATCCCTGGGTCTCCACCATTTATAGATTTGAGGTTTGAGGACAATACCGTCGTCCCTAGGTCTCCACCGTTTATATACCGAGTTTTGAGGACAGTACCGTCGTCCCTGGGTCTCCACCGTTTATATACCGAGTTTTGAGGACAGTATCGTCGTCCTTGGGTCTCCACCGTTTATATATCCATTCCTATGATCTACCACATATCATACACAGATAGGGTCTACATCATAATCATTTATCAAGACTAAACCAAATCTCATAGCCCAAGCATAACAATCCATGCAAAACCATGCACGAAAATTAACATTCCGGACAAAACAGCACCAAACCGGCACCGGTTATAGCCCAAACCGGCGCTGGTTCATATTTATTTTAATTTATTTGGATGCCCCGTACTCAAACCGGCCCCGGTTATAGCCTAAACCGGAGCCCGTTATAGCCTAAACCGGCGTCGGTTCACTTTCTTCTTTGCGGTCAACAGCCCGTTCACCGCCCGAACCGACTCCAATTGATCCGAAACTTAACCCAAACATGAATTGAGTCTTAAACAATCAATATTTGCCATTTTGGTCATCCAAAAAATCACACATGTTTTTATATCATTTTCATATCATTTTTCATGCATAATCATTATGGTTCATCTCATATAAGTCTAATCATCTTGGCTAATCACATGTTTAAACCATTTTAAACATCATTATGAACACATATAGAATTTACTAAGGTAATCTCATACTTAAATCAAGAGTTACAAGACATTAAGTCATCCACTCACCTTGAATGAGCTTTATGAAGTTCTACCCTTCCCGGTTGAACTCCAGCGAAACTCCGGCGAACTTTGAAGAACTCCGGCGATGACTCCCGTGACCCTTTCAACTCCGTGAAAGCTCTAGGAACTCCTTAGACAAGTTCCTAACAAGGTTTTATCATCACAAAACCCATATCCAAACAAATAACCTTTAAAAGTTTATTTTCCCGTGAACCGGTCACTTTGGCTTCTAAGTCCGTTCTTGGAGTTAGAACTTCCTTCCAACCCCTCATTCTACAATTCTAAACATGTATAGATTCCCTAGGGGTTCCTCATATTCTATATAGTTCATATGGTACTTAAAGAGTAGTGGAAAAGTTAATATAAGGTCATTACCTTAATCACCACAGTTTTTCCTCTTTAAACTTCCTTCTTTGCCTCCCTTGAGCTTGAGTCCGAATTTAACTATGGAGTATGGTATTTCCAGAGCTTCTCTCTTTTATTGGGGTGGTTTGGATGCACAAAACAATGGGGGAGGGGGTGAGGAGACTCCTTTTGTCTCAAATGGCAAATGAGTGAGGAGAGAGGCCCACCATAGGTCAACTCTCACCCAACCATCACCCTCAGCCCACACACACCGCACAACCCATGTTGTGCAGCCCCCTTATTATCTTTGAGCTCAAAAAAAAACGTGGGGTGACCCCACTCTTGTGGGAAGTCATCCCATTATGTCCTGATGTGTACTATTGGCCACGGAAGTTGTATTTACCGGACTGTTTTAATTATATTCTATTTTATCGGACCGAATAAAATATATCACACACTCTCAACCCATATGGGATCTTAGAATGAATATACATTCCTCAACTTTAATTTGAAAGCCTCCGAAATCCAGTTCGAACTGTTATCCGATAAATTATCAATACCGGTAATTGGGCCTTGTTTGACCAACAGGTCAACCCTATGCCCTCTCCATGGCCCAACTAAAATATTCACCACCATATTCACATCATCTAGACCAAGATGAATATAACATGTGGTCTCGGAAATATAGGGTGGTCTCCGCTCCCAATGTGGGCCCCGTGTGTAATTCACTATTCACGCAAAAAGTAATAACAAAAATTTTCAACCTCGTAAATTCATTAACCACTTCATAAGGTTCAATACATGATTTACATAAAAGTAAATATAATTGGGGACGGTGTTACAAGTTCACCCCCCCTTATTTGGGATTTCGTCCCCGAAATCCATGTGTCTAATCGAAAAGAAACGGGTATTGTTCTCTCATTGAGACCTCGGTCTCCCAGGTTTCTTCTTCGACTCGATCACTCCTCCATAGAACCTTTACCATAGGAATCTCCTTGTTCCTAAGTTTCTTCACTTGTTGACCAACAATCTTCACCAGTTCCACTGCACATTGCAAGTCCTCACGGATCTCCACCGGTGGTTTCTCAAGAATATGAGACGGATCTCGTACATACTTCCTGAGCATGGATACATGAAATACGTCATGCATATTCTCAAGTTTAGGTGTCAACTTGAGCCGATAGGCCATGGTTCCAATCCTTTCAAGGATCTCGAACGGACCAATGTATCGGGGGTTAAGCTTACCCCTCGATATGAATTGGATGATACCTTTCCAAGGAGAAATCCTTAGAAATACCTCATCACCAACTTCAAACTCTAACGGTCTACGTCGTTTATCGGCATAGCTCTTCTGCCGATCTTGGGCAGCCTTAAGCCTATGCCGAATGATCTTCACCTTAGCCTTGGTGATCTCCACAAGTTCTATACCCTCGAGCTTGGATTCGCCAACCTCATCGCAACACAATGGTGTCCTGCATTTCCTCCCATACAATGCCTCGTATGGAGGCATGCCAATACTTGCCTGATAACTGTTGTTATAGGCAAACTCAACTAGAGCCAAATGTTTGTCCCAACTCCCTTGGAACTCCAAAGCACATGCCCTAAGCATGTCTTCCAAAATCTGTATCACCCGCTCGGATTGTCCATCCGTCTGTGGATGAAATGTTGTGCTAAACTTCAGTTTAGTTCCCAAGGATGCTTGAAACTTTGTCCAAAATCTAGATGTGAACCGTGGATCTCTATCCGACACAATGGATATCGGGATTCCATGCAATCTCACAATCTCACAATCTCTTCAGTGTATAACTTGGCCAATCTCTCAAGAGGATAAGTAATGTTTATAGGTAAGAAATGTGCACTCTTAGTAAGCTTATCAACCACCACCCATACCGCATCGTAATTGTTCACCGTTCGTGGTAATCCTACCACAAAGCCCATGGTCACATGTTCCCACTTCCATTCCGGAATGGTAAGTGGCTGCAAAAGCCCCGTCGGGTGCTGATGCTCCGCCTTAACTTGCTGACAAGTAAGGCATCGACTCACATACTTTGCGATGTCCCTCTTCATACCTCACCACCAATAACTCTCCTTTAGGTCTTGGTACATCTTTGTACCTCCTGGATGCATAGCGTAGGCCGAAGAATGAGCCTCCTCTAGTATGTACTTTCAGAGCTCTTTATTCTTCGTTATACACACACGATCTCTAAACAATAAGAGACCATCTTCTCGTACTCGGAAATCCTCAACGGGCCCCACAAGGATCCGTTCCCGGATCTTCTGACATTCTTCGCCAATCACCTGACATCCGCTGATCTCATCAAGCAATGTAGGTCTAACTTTGAATCTTGCTATGAGGGCCCCGCTCGTGGTCACCTTCACGCGCGCTCTCAATGCCCGTAGGCATGTGAATAACATCCCCGACGTACTCTTCCGGATCCGCGCATCGGCCGCCACATTGGCCTTACCGGGATGATAGTCGATGATCAAGTCATAGTCCTTGATCAACTCCATCCATCTCATTTGCCTCATATTCAACTCTTTCTGAGTGAATACATACTGCAAGCTCTTATGATCGGTGTAGATGTGACATGTCTCCCCGTAGAGACAATGCCTCCAAATCTTTAGTGCAAACACTACCGCCCCCAACTCTAGGTCATGGGTAGGGTAGTTCACCTCGTGTTTCCTCAATTGCCTAGAAGCATAGGCAATCACCTTACCATTTTGCATTAGAACACATCCAAGCCTTTGGATGCTAGCATCACTATAGATATCAGACATTATACCTTGTATGGGTAGAGCCAGAACTGGTGCCTCAGTAAGTCATTTCTTTAGCTCAAGAAACCCTTTCTCACACTTGTCGTCCCATACGAACTTAGCCCCCTT